CGGCGCCATCGCCGCGATGCTCAGGCTGCTCTCTAGGGCGCTCTCCTTCTTCTGGAGGCGTGCGGATGGTGAGGAGAAAGAGCACGAGAGGTGTGCGGCCTCAGGTAGGGGTTCCTGGGCCCGCTGTGGGTTTGTGGTGCCGGACACAGGGTCTCTTTGTGGCTTCAGGGCCTTGAGGGTGTTGATGGACTCGTGCCCCTTTTGGGTGGGTAGGGTCAGGACCTGTCTCCCTAAAGGAAAACAGGGAAACAAGATGTCTTTTTTGCTACAGAAGGTGTAGGAGTGTTCCTGATGGTGCTTCTTTTGTGATATTTCCTAAGTAGGGCAAATTACTGTTGCTGGTTAGGTTAAGAAGTAAGGTGTGGAAGGAGTGTTGTGGTGGTAGGTGATGGGCTCTTTGGGCTTTCCCTTGTACTGCTGTCTTAAAAAATAAACCTTCCCACTTTCTTTGGTCTGTGGAATGGAAATGATAGTGTAGCTTTTATGTTTTGAGGTGCTAATATTATGTACATCTAAGTTGCTTTTAATAGCATTATTCAGTGTAGGAAAAAGTGCTTTTTCATGTATATGAATACAGAAAGCAAAAAATATTTCTTTCTGTATTAATAGTTTTAACTCTGACTACCTAATAATATGTTAGAAATCTAAGCTAGCATACTTCAGTCCACCTTTAGCAAAGCCTGAAGTTTTTGTGTGGTGCTATCGAGTGAAAATTTGTGTGATACGTAAGTAGATGCTACTTCTAATCCAGAAGACTTGAAACTCCTAATTCTTCAGAGAAACCCATCACTAGAAGTGGTTATCTCCAGAGAGGTGTGTTAACTAAAATATTATATGAATAAATTTGAAGACTTGATTTGTATAGGTTGTTTACTTTGCCTGTTTTTTCAGTTCAGACATCTTAAATGTATTGGATTCCCATGCAAACAGTGCTGAGAACTTTATTTTACTTTGGAATGTCCTGAAAATAGTTATTTACCCAGAGCTTTTGGGAGAAGCTATTTAGCTTGCAGGTGTTTTTTTTCTTCACGTTTTTTGAGGTAATTATATATGTATAAACTCAAAAATATTCATTGCAGGTGCTGGCTTCTGCACCTGATGTGGGGTTAATCCTGGTTATGCATACAAACTGGGGGACAAGAGGCTGGAGAGCAGCCCTGCAGAAAGAGATCTGGGGGTTTGGGTTGATGGGAAGTTGAATGTGAGTCAACAGCAGATCCTGGCAGCTAAAAAGGCCCACTGTTTCTTGAGGAGTATCAAGGACAGCGTAGCCTGCCAGTCAAGGGATGTGATTGTCCCACTCTACTTATATGGCCCCACCTCAAGTACTGAGTGCACTTTTGGGAGCCTCAATATAAGAGTAACATCACACCATTATAGTGTGTCCAGAGGAGGGTGACCAGGATGGTGAAGGATCTCAATGGTGGCAAGACTTAGGAGAAGCAACTGATGTCACTTGCCTTGTTCAGTTTGAAAAAGAGAAGTCTGAGGGTCAACCTGATCACAGCCTATAACTTTCTTAAGAGAGGCAGTGGCTGGGGAGGTGAGGATCTCCTTTCTCGGGGCACCAATGGTAGGACACAAGGGCATGGAATGAAGCTGGCAAAGGAAGTTCAGGCTGGATACTACGAAAAGGTTCTTCACTGGGAAGGTTGGATGGTCACTGAAACAGGCTCCCCAGGGAAGTGATCAGGACACCAAGCCTGTCAAGCAATGTCTGGATTATGCTTTTGGTCATATGATTGCGTTTTAGGTAGTCCTGCAAGGAGCAGGGATTGGACTCTGATCCTTATGGATCCTTTCCAATTCAAGGTATTCTGTGATTTTTTTATGCAACATAAAGAATGTTTTTGCAATGTAGCTTGTATTTAGCTAGCTTTCTTAATTGGTTGAAAACAGCTTGCTAAGCCAAGAATTCAAGACTTAAATGTGGAACTAACTAGTTGACAGGTGTTGATATTTTTAGTTGAACAAGAGAATGACTTTTTGATAGAAGGAATAACACTTCTAATAGCATTCATTACTTGTTGCATAGTTCTGTAAACGAGATTTTCTGTCAACACTTTTCCCATGAATGCAGGTGTTAAAGGATTAAGAACTGTACAAGGAGTAGTGACAAGATTTTGCCATGATTATGGGATGATAGATGACATGATAACCTTCACAAAAGATGCTGTTACAAAAAATATGCTGCTCACTATTGGACAAGAAGTTACTGCCACTGTTGAAGAGGATAAAACATCAGGAGGTTTGAAGGCCATCAAGGTAAGTGGTGATGATTAATAGTGGTTTCACTTCCTCTGTAAATCTCTTCAGACTTTATTTTGGAAGTTACCGTGGTTCTACAAAACCTCCTATTTTCTACAAAATAGGAGAAATTGCCACTCTTTTGCCTAGTGGGGATAAGTTGTTTGAGTTTTTTGTTATTATTTTAGTCCATCCCTTTTAAAATGTTGTTTCTTTAATACTGATTCTCTAAATATAGGTCTAGATGTAGTGAATATGAAACTATTCATTGAAATAATTGCATCAGAATTTGTTTAATCATGCCTGGTTCAAATTTCTGTGGTCTGACTTTTTTTGAGCTTCAAAGTCAATTTTATGTTATGGTTATATGAGTTGGGTAAGGAAATAAAAACACATCTATGAGTGGAAGCGTAATAAAAATTTTAACCCTTCCTGTTGATGATACTTGGCTTTTGCAGAGCTGCACTTAGGGCTGGTAGAGTTGCTGTAAAGAATGATGAGGTTCCATCATAGGCTGCTGTGTGAGTGACCATGTGAGCCATTTAGTACTATCCAGTTCCATTTGATGTAGCAGGCTTTGAGTATGACTGTGTAGATGAAGGCAAAGTTTTGTCTTTGCCATGAGAAATAGTTGCCTTCTGTGAACCATATGTTAGTACAAGTGTTAGTCTAGAAGGTTGCTTTGTTTTGTTATTTCTCTTTTTTTTTTTTTTGCCTTGGAATTCAAAAATTTCCCTAGAATTCAAAGCTCTAACCTCATCAGCCACTACACCTGTTAGCACTAGGAGAGATCTGTATTTAATTGATCTATAAATAGGAAACCAATGCAAAGATGCTAAATGCCTGCTGAAACTCTTTTTTTGTAGTTATTATTTGTCAGTAATAAATATGCTTTTCATCTGATCATGTTAATAGACTATGAGATGTACACCAGACTAATGATAAACTCCTCCCTAGAGACTGGACTTAAACTTACAGAAAATGCAGACCTCTGAGAATTTTCTTTTCCCCTCTAATGGTTGAATTGGCAGTAACTGTATTGTGTCTGATAAAATTAAGTTGACTGGAAATGTGACTTCTCAGGTAGGAGGAGGCAGAAAACAAAAATGCTAGAAGACTAACTTGATTTGTTTTTTACTCTGTATAATGTTTAGGACTTTAGATGCCTTTTTATATAAACATGAAATCTGTTAGACTACTGAGGAAACCGCAGTGGAGTCACTTTTACAGACTTTTTTCAAGCTCTGTTGCAGGTTTGGTAATAATTAAGGACCTCATGAAAACTTTCTTAGATGTTGGCACTTAATAATCAATTTGGTGTGTTGTGGGTTTTTTTTAATCTGGCTTTGTTAGGTATCTGAGGTTTAATACTTTCTTTCAGGAAGATTTAAAAGGTTGCATACTTCCATTTTGCTCTGTTTTCTCTTTCCTTTAATTCAAAATATTGAGTACAGTTCCTGTAGGCTACAGTAAATATGTTTCATATCAAAGATCAGATCTGTGTTAAAGGGAGGAACATAAAGTTCTGAAATTATCTTCAATTGCATACAAAATTTTGAGGGGATTTTCTTAGTAAAGCTGTTTCACTTTGAAACTGATGGCAATTTCATTAACTGAGAAAAGAATATTGATGGAAGAGTTTTGTTGTATGATTGCAGATGAAACATATAAGGTAAGTGAGAGAGAAGTCTTGTTTCTAAAATATTACCAGTTCTAGTGCTAACTGCTAAGCAAGCAGTTTCAGTGCTGCTTGGTAAAGCAGTATTTACACAGTCAAAAAATAAATAACTTTAAATATTCGTTGTTCTTCTTTGTTTTCTTTCTGACTGACAGATTTCACAATACTGTTGAAATACTGTCATTGCTCCAAAATCCATAAATCTGGTAACTGAGAAACTACATAATCTCCAAAACCACTAGGATATTTTAGCAGCTGTGGGACATTTTGCTGTATGTGCTAGACAATGACCTTTTCAGAAGTTCTAAGGGTAAACATAGAGATTTATCTTGTTTTATTTTGGGATGATGTCTTGGCATCTGAAATAGGATCTGTGTGATTAAGACAAAACAGTTAATGTTCAAATTGTTTCTTCTTGCTTTGTAATGGATGTGTTCTTTGTGAAAATTGTGCCTGCCAAGAAGTGCCATGCACAAAGGTAGTAATATCATTTAGCAAGTGTAAAATTCTTACCACTTATTTAAAATGTGGCTATAGGAGGACTGCTTTCCATTGTGCACAAATGCTCATCTATAACACAAAGGTGGTACTGTGTAGTCTTTTCAGTGTGTTACCTTTGTCACATTATGCTTTAAGACAATACTCATTCATAGTTTCTAATCTTCAGGTAGAAAGAAGAACACTACTGATAACTGTTTTGTATGGCTGTTTGTTTTATTTACTGCCTTATCTGTATTATTCTAGTTTTCTACTCGATTTCTTTACTCTGGTTGTGAATTTGTAAACATTTGGCTTTCTGAAATAAGCTGTTAATTTAATTATCTGACCTACATCCTTATCCTCATAAGACTCATAAAAAAAGAATGTGGAGTTTTGTGTACAACAGTGAACAGCTACAGTGAGTATACAATTGTCTTATAAGTAGCTTGACTTCCATAAGCAGTTGAAATTCTGATATTTATTGTAGGAATATATATATAACATACAATTCTAAATATCAGCTGTTTGAATGTTGGGGGTTTTTGTATCAATAGGTAGAAGCAGTACAGAATACATGGGGAGACTCCGATCCCACTTTTGATGCTTCTGAACTTAATAAGAAAACATTAATTGGTACTATTACCTCGCTCTCTAAGGATGGTGGCTATATTAATCAGAATACTTTTTTCACAATGGAAAATGTCTGTGAAGGTATGTAGGAGCTTTCTTTTTTGCTCTTCCTTAATTTTTTTATATGTATGATAGAATATGTTCTGGTAAACTAGCAGTCCATATCCCAAGTTGGTTCTAATAAACTGTATGTAGTGAAGCAGCCTTAGGGATTTGGGTGAAGCAAGTTCATTCGCACTGAGTATGATTTGCATCCTGTCACGTAAGGACAAGTTACATGTGAGCAAGAGTATTTTTCTACTAGGTTTGCTGACGTAGTTTGTCATAACCTACTGGGGGAAGAACTGCAAAGAGAAGTTTGAACTCAGTGGATCTCAATAATGCAGTGTTCTCCTGGTCATTTTATTTAACTTAAACTACTTCTGTATGGGAGTAATGCGAATGTTATCAGTTGCAATTAAACTTGAGAAATGTTCTGGTTTACCTAGGTTTCGAACCTTGTAAAGGTGACTGGGTACAAGCAAAATATTTTATTAACCCAAAAACATGGAGCAGTGAAGCAGTTGATGTGAACCCATTGAGATACAAGCAAGTAAACAAGGTAAAAGTTCTGCATGAGGTATCTTGTGTGAAGTGGGGTTTTGAAGGTTTATATGCCAATATTTATTTCTAAAACACGTCTTTTAAGTAAAAAATAAATTATATCTACTGATCCATTTATAGAATTATTTTTAAAATAACAAAGCTTTTCGAAAAAAGTACACATTTCAGTTGGAACAGGAAGAGTAACTTAGTTACTGGCTATCATTTTTTTTATTTGGATGCCTACTGTTTTAATTTGGTTGTAATGAGGATATATGGCTTTTCAGAGTTTTTTTTTAAGTAGTAATGACTGCTATTGATTATGTTTAATTTGTCTGAATATTTTGCCTTAAAACTAACTGTTGTACCTTTTTTTAATTTTAAGGAAAATGTTCCCTCTCGGAATACATGTATTAGGTTTATGGTTTATTGCATTTCACTTAACTGTACATATTGAATAATATTTGCATGTCGAGCATAGGAAAAAAATTCTTCTCTTGTGATCACTAGTATTGAGGTATAAATGAAGTGTTGGAAACTCACAAGACAGGTATCATTATTAAGTCAAATTAATGTATGGTAGTACACATTTAAGTGAAACCTTATCTGAAGTACTTGTGATTCTTTATACTTTTAAATCTACAAACACATTCATTCTAGGTTATAGTTGTATGTTTGGTTCCCCTGAATAAATGAAACTTCAGAATGCAACCCTGTTAATGCTAGAATGACTGTTGCAGGAAAAAAATATGCAGTGATAGCATGACTGATGGCTTAAGCAGGTGTAACATCAAGTAACACTGAGTAACAAACTTACAGGTTTGCATTTCTAGCATCTGTGGAAGAATTGGTACAGTAGACGAGAGTATATTCTTCACTTTGGATTCACTGAGACTTCCTGATGGCTATTCACCTCGCAGACATGATCTAGTGAACACGATTGTGGTGGAGAGTAATCAGTCATGTTATGTTTGGAGAGCTCTCTGCTTGGTGCCAGTCAGTCAGGATGGGTAAGATTCATTCTTTCATGCTCTTTCTGCTAAATAACAGAGATGGATTGTAATTCTGCAGCTTAATTTTTGTTGCATCTATTAAGCAAGAAATACTGTGAATTCTTTACTAGTTGACAAGAAGGCATGATACATCATTGGGAAGATGAGAGTGTGATATGTTTTGGCCCTTGCTTTTTCTTTTCCAGAATGTGGGGACATCTGTGATTACTATAGAAGCAAAACTAGTAGCAGCTGAACTCAAAGACAGTGCTAGGCAAGGAAGAAATTTTGCATGGTTTTGTTAGAAAAATGCCAAACTCCTGCTTTTTTCTCATGTTTCCTGTAGTCTATATTTTTCTAGTGAGAACTTTACTGATTGAAAATAATTCTTAGTTAAACTGATGCAAAATGGGTGTTTCTTTAATAGATTTTGCCTAGCTTGTAGTGATTTTTCAGATTATCTGTCCTAAACTGAATAATGATATGAACAATAGAGATTCATTGGGCTTTCAAACATCAAACTGCAAGGTTCTGCAGGCATGTTAGATGGCATATGCTTTGTGAGGAGGATCTGGACAGATTGCAGAAAAAGTAGATTGTGTTCAGTATGGGGAAGCAGCAAAATTTTGTGAAATAATCAATGACACAAATGGAGAACAAACAACAACTAATCAGTAGCAGTTCTGCAGCAAAGATCCAGAGTTTGACTTGTCAACTTATTTGACATAGTCCTTGGGAGAACTTACCTTGTATGGTCTCTGGGCAATGTAGATAAGGGCAGTACATGTCTTCAAAGAAACTATGAATAACGGAGTAATCTGTTTGTTTTCACTGGAGAGAATAGCTCTAATATATTTAAATCTTAACTAGGTGGAGCTCAAAGTGTTTACCTCACTTTGCATAGCAGTATAATTTGTTCACTTATCTTTTCAGTTGTACTTATTTTTAATGACTGATTTTATACAGATAATTATTGCTAAAGCCAAGCTACAGAAATAGGCCTCAGGGTTGATTTCTCAGTATATTTTCTACCATATAAAAACAATTAGTGATCTTAAGCTGCAATGGGGGACATCTAGTGGGCTTTGCTAGTAAATTGATGTAGAGAATAAAAAACAGCTGCAGTCGTTTTATATTTAATTGTATTAGATAACTAAGGAATACTTAGGGTATGTAAATATTGGCAAGTCTATAAAAATATTTCCAAGTTATTCTGGTGCGAGTTTATCTAACTGAATAGTTTCTTAATTGTTGAAGAGAAACCATTTTTTAATAGTTTCAACAGGTAGCTGAGACTGAGGTTAGAGTTATGATCACTGTCTCAGACAAGGAAGAGCATGTGACTCTGGTTTCATTGGCAGTTTTCATCAGTAGCAAGAGTGATAGCAGTTCTTAGGAGAGCTTTTTGGTTTTCAGCTTTTTTCAGTTTCTTCACTTTGCTGCCTTCAGATTGTAGCAGTAAGCAGAAGACATATATAAGTGCTTAAGGTACATGCTGAAACATTTCCAGTCAAGTTATTCTACCTCTGAAGCTCCAGGGCTAATCAGGACTCTTTCTAAGGAGCTGCTCTTCATTTTGTCTTGGTTCAACTCCCAGGGAGAGCTGTAACAGCTTCAGTCACCATTTGATTCAGCTCATTTGATTCAACAAAAATGAACTAGCTTCTTAATCATTTTAGTCTTGTATCCAAAGTTTTACACTGGTTTACTGTGCTGCTGACAGAAGGCTTGTTTGTTTCTAATTTTCTACTTAAATTAGTAAAGGTAATCCAACTGTCTTGGAAGTGTTAAGTAGCAGAGAAAAAAGTGAACCCTCTCACCTGCTTCTTCCTAAACACTGCAACTGAGCTTTGGTATAGTGATTCTGAAACTTGTGCTCAATCTAAGGTATTTGTGCAGTCTTATATGTGTTTAAAAATTGTCAGCTAAAATTATTTTTACAGTCAGACTCACTCTGGTGGAGTCAATCTGGATGAGCCTGATGAAGACTTAATGACAGACAAAGGAGGGTTGGAAGTATCAAGAACAACTAATTTTGGAACTTTGAAGCAGGGGGAATCTAAAAGAATGATCATTTGGATAGAGTAAGCCTTTCTGATTATTCTAAGTGTCCTTCCTTAGTCTCCATAGTCTGTAAACATGTCTTTCATACAGAAGTCTCATAGTTTAGCCTTGTAGTTCGTGGTCTTCAAGTAACCCCCAAATACTATAGAATTAAAGAGAACGTAATGTCTCTAGGATAGTCTTTTTATTGAGCATCTGTCTTGCAGATAGGATTGGGGAATTTCAAAGCACTATGTTTCTTTTCAATCCTAACTAAATCCTTTCTGTAATTAGGGTTAAAGTAAATGCATTTACTTGTAAGGGTGTTTTTTAAACTGCAGGTATGCCACCATTTTCAGAATCTTGGCACAGGGGGATTGTTGCATACTTACATATTAAAAGCAGACTAGATTTTTTTTCTAATTGTTTTGGGTATCTTTAAGTTGGATGCTGAAGAACTATGTTGGCAAATCCTTGTTTTCACATACGGGCATAGATGCTCAAATTAGTTCACACTTGGAATACCTCTGTTTGTTGCTATGAGGTTCCTGAGAGTTAGTTACCCAATGATAAATATGTTACCACAGTTTTTGTTGGCTTTTTTTTCACAGTGTTTCTGTCTGCTTCATATGGTAGCTGATAGGAGTTCTAAAATAATCGTGAACTCACCTGTCACAGACAGTTGTATTTGACTTCAGGTAGAATTAAGCTTCCGAAGAACATAAACTATGTCTTTAATTATGTAATTAATTACATGACTACTTCTAGGAATAAAGGGAGTGTGCCACAGGTTTTTTTTCTTTTGGTTTTGGGTGTCTTTTTCACATACGGGCATAGATGCTCAAATTAGTTCACACTTGGAATACCTCTGTTTGTTGCTATGAGGTTCCTGAGAGTTAGTTACCCAATGATAAATATGTTACCACAGTTTTTGTTGGCTTTTTTTTCACAGTGTTTCTGTCTGCTTCATATGGTAGCTGATAGGAGTTCTAAAATAATCGTGAACTCACCTGTCACAGACAGTTGTATTTGACTTCAGGTAGAATTAAGCTTCCGAAGAACATAAACTATGTCTTTAATTATGTAATTAATTACATGACTACTTCTAGGAATAAAGGGAGTGTGCCACAGTCCTTAATCAACTGCAGATTGGCTGGATGGGTGAAAGACAAGCAATTCAGTTTTCAGATTCCTCAAAAATGTGAGGACAGTCCGGAAGCATATCTCTTATCTTCTCCAACAAAACAAGAAAGCCTCTCAACAGCTGTAGTTAATTTGTGTAACAATAGTGGAAGAATGACAGATGAGTCCTTGAATAATGCATCCAACATGAAGAATATGGTCCTTCAAGGTACAGTAAAATTTTAAAGTTGTGTATTGAGTGTTAACTCCTCAGAAGACCTGTAGGTTTGTTTGACAATACTTGCATATGCCAAGGATAGCAGTTGTGCTAACAGAGTTTATTATCATCTGTTTACTACAGAAGGACTTAATTCTCAGGATACAGATTTAACAAGAAAAAAAGGAAACTTTTCCTTTGTGAAAGATGAAAATCTACTTAATGGAGTAAATGAACATCAAGAAGATGTGGAACAATCCAAAAAGAGTGTCAGTATTACTGAGGAAATTGTCATACCACCAGGGGGAAAGACATTCATAATAGTCATATGCACAGCTGTGTAAGTATTTCTTTCCATTGATTCTGACCAGTAAAAAGGAAAGAAGTCATAAAAATTGATTTCAGGATCTCTGTATTCTGGGCACAGTTCTCTTTTTGGTATAGGATAAATTAAGCCAGTCCATATTAGCAAATTATGTGGAAATTTACATTAGACCTTGAAAGCATTAAGCATTTTACTGCTTTATTCTGATTTTTGTCAAAACAAAATGCTTGTAGTAAATGAAGAAATACAGTGGGAGTAGATAACTTCCCCTAAGAAAGGCAATAAGGTGAGGATAGTGCCTGTAGCTGGTTAAATTCTTTTCAGGAAACCCATCGCTCCATGAGCATATTTCCTGGGAACTGTTGAGTTATATCTATGTTTCGTCCATTCTCAGTACCCTAATGACATATTCATGTTGCTACACACATTGATTTCAAAACTTCCTATCTTGTGGCATGAAATGTAGGTTATATTTAAAAAATGCAGTTCTTCCTTTAAGGTATAATTTATAGTGGAAGTGGTTGCACATCTTAGAAGATCCTTGAAAAAATAATTTGGTGTATCTGAGCAGGTAGTGTTAGTTGGCAGGAAAAGCTGGAACTTCTGGAGAAAGTAAGGCAGAATCCTTCTGGGATGCACTTGTTTCAGGCAAAATGTTGGGACTGTGTAGTTATTTTCAAGGACAGAACTGGACTCTGGATAGCACAGAGATTGAACTCATTGAAGGATTTCAAAGCCAGTGATGTGCTTTAAAATCTTACACAATGAAGTATGTTTTTCAGAAACAAAGGATCTTCCCTGCATTCTCCACTTGATGTGATTACAGTTAGGGTTTGGTTCTGAGTACCCTTAAGCAAGGTGGAGCAAAGGTGTTGCTGCACTGAAGGGATATGCTTCAGGTTTCTGTAGTGGAAATGTTTGGCTTATCTTTTTCAGTAACAGTAATTCCAAGGTGTTCCTTGTGACAGAAGTATTAATGCTGTACCTAGGATGTTGAGGGGTGGGATTTTGTTCTTTACTGAAGCTTTTGATTAAATTAAAGGGGTTGAGATTTTTACTCTGTTTTAATTAAGATAGCTGGATTGAGCTCACTTCCTTTTGGAAGTGTGAGAAGTTACCCTAAGTTAGCAGTTCTCATATGTTACTGAAATGAGAATCTAGAATTTTGTTTTAAAAATACTGATGGCTGGGGAAGATAAAGTGTGAGTGTAGTGGTTTTAAGAATGTAACTTCTGCTCACTTGAAGAAATCCTGGATACAGTAAAGAACTCCTGTTGCTTGGTTTTTCGGATTTTACTGTTGGGCGCTGTATTGAAGCAACTGTAACAAATGAAGAAGAATTACTGATAGCACCTGGGAAACCATTTTCTCCAAAAAAACATAAGATTATTCCAGAACCTCATCCAAGGAAGACAACAGTGGTTGCCCCTACATACAGAAGGTAGTGTGAATTAGAGCAAAAAGTAAACTGTAATACTGCTCTGAGTGGTATTGCTATATGCATTCTATAACACTGACGACAAAAAAAAAAAAGTGAGACTGGGACAGTCTGTCCATGTATATATGTACGTGGTAAACAAGTTAATTGTGGATGTTATTGATGGAAGAGGTTGTTTTTTTATAATGACATGATTTATTTCTTTGTAGATTTGTCAAATAGGAACTCTTTCTGGTATATAATCTGGTGACAAGATGAACACTGTTGGATAGTAATCTACAAGTAGCAGTTGTGTTATTAAGAAAAAAGTAAATAAGAAATAGTTTTTTGAGAGAGTGAGCTGAATTCCTCAAGCAACTTTGATATCTGTATCTATGTTTACAAATATGTGAAGGGTGAGTGTCAGGATGATGGAGCCAAACTTTTTTCAGTGACAACCAGTGATAGGACAAGGGACAATGGATGCAAACTGGAGCATAGGAGGTTCCATGTGAATATCAATAAGGACTTCTTTACTGTGAGAGTGACAGAGCACTGGAATAGGCTGCCCAGAGAGGCTGTGGAGTCTACTGTGCTGGAGACATTTAAAACCTGCCTGGACGCATTCCTGTGTGATGTGCTCTAGGTGACCCTGCTCTGGCAGGGGGGTTGGACTAGATGATCTTTTGAGGTCCCTTCCAACCCCTAGGATTCTGGGATTCTGTGATTCTATGATCTGATAAATGTCTTGCATCTTTCATTCAGAACTCTTCCTTTTGCAAATAAGCTTCCAATATACTTAGAATATAGTTATAAAAATACCCATAAAGCAAAAAAGCAGGTGCACGATTTCAAACATAGCATACTTCTCCATTGTCACTTTGAAGGAATCACTGGACCTGTTGTGTGTGTTTTGGTTTATAGCCTTGTGATTGGGCATGTTACTTAGCTGGTTTTCACGTAAAGAACTCAAGAAAGCTAAATGCTATGTTGTACATTTTTGTTTCAGAACTCGCAGAAAGCGGTTGCCAAGCTTTCTCCCACATTATACCATACCAGCTGAGTTAAGAAAATGTGTGGAGCAGAAGTTAGACATACTGACCTTTCAACCTCTCCTAGCAGAGGTATGCAAGTTTAGGTTTATAGAAGAAAATATATTTTATGGGAATGTGTTTGCTTAAGCTGGCTTTAATTTAGCAAAAATGTGTAGCCCTTGCTGTGTCAGAAGATTATGTAATATTGTCACCAAGTAGACGTAAGTCCAACTTGTAACTTTTATGGGTTTCAGTATGTCACAGAATCCAAGCTTACAAGAGCATGAAAGGGTAAATGTGAAAAACTGAAAAGGGAGTAGAAATGTACTGGGGCAAGGGAGAGGTACTACAGAAACTGAACGATTCCTCTTCACTCTCACTTTTAAGGTGTCTTTTGAAAGGGTTTTTTGAGGTGTCAGACAGTAGTCCAGCAATTGTTTCATAGCAAATGAAAGCAGAAATTCTTCAGTTATTGTAATAATAGATTATGCTTTTCTGATTTTTTCAAAACTTTGCTTTAAAAACTCCTCAGATTTAATTCACTATGGCTTGTTCACAGAAGTATAGCAATTTCAGAATAAATTTTAAAAAAATTTTAAAAAACCCCAAGCCCTGGACTCTTAACAAGAATATTGGAGTGACTTCTCCAAATTTTGTCCTGATTTCTGGTAGAACATTGCTGCAACTCATTTTTCCCCCTGTACCTTTTTAAAGACTTATAAACTGGGTCTAAACCTTAATTTTTAAAAAATGTGAATGGGTATGTCATCTGCTTTCTAAGCAGCTCACAGAAAACCTGAGGCCATGGTGTTGTGATAGCAGATTAGTGATCCTCTCAAAAAAAGAGAAAACTACTGTTTGAAATAACTTTACACTGAAAGCCTGTCATTAAGTGTAACTTTTTTTAACCATGTCTTAAGTTCTGGTAACTGTTTTAAGTCTGCTCCATAAAAAAGCTGCTCATTCACCTTGTATTTGAGTGAGAGGAGACCAAATGGAAAGCATTGCACTGCTGGAAAGTACCTCTTCAGTGAGATACACTAAGCTCTAAGGGAGAAAGTTCAGGTTCCTTCAGCTTGCCCATTAGTTTTATTATCACCAGCCAGGGCCAAGTCTGATGTGACTCTTACCACTTCACCTGTTTCTGCCTGGTGTACTTAGATTTTATGCTTTCTGGAATTGCTGAGCATAGAATTCTGTTTGTAGGCTGCCTTTGAATTCAGATTTTGAAGCTGCCAGTGTAACTGGGAGAGGCTTGATTGAGTGTTCAGCTGAATGGCTGTTGCATCTGAACTCCAGGGGCTGTATTAATTCTGCATTGACTACTGGGGGAATTTAAAATACTAGCTAGTGTATAGATACATGTATTTAGGTGCCTTAATTGACAGTTGCTGTGCAGTTTGTCTTAAGAGTTGTTTTGTGTGTTCCATTTGTGTAGAAGGTACAGTATACTGTTCTGTTTTTCAGCATCTTAATCTATGTAATTATAAAGCACGGTTTTCCACTCTCTTGTGGCTTGAAGACATCTGTGCAGAAATGGAGATAAAAGACTTTAACATGAGTGGGGTTACTTTGAAAAGGAATGGGGACTTTTTAGTGTTGGAAGTGCCAGGAGTGGAAGAAGGCAGACCTCACCTGATTCCAGGTAGTAATTAATGTGAGATAAAGCAAAATAGCATGTTGAACAATATTTTCAGTGCAATACAAAGTCTGTTGTTTATTCATTTGTTGAAAGAAGTCTTTCACATATTTTAATACAAACTTACTAACTTAGCTGCACTATTAGTGTCTCAGTGTGAGTCTCATCGTGGCTGCTTTTGGAAACTGCATTGCATGTCTGTTCTTATGCACGTTACAATCTGATAGGATTTTCCATGTGCAAAAATTGATGGGGCTTTCAAGCAAAAATAAACTTAAATGTAGTAGTAACTTAAACAATAGGTGTATTACAGGTAAAAACTAGGAGAGTAGTTAAAATTTAATTCAGAATCTCAAAGAGTAGAATATAACATCTTCAGGAGGTATTGTCTGATGGCATCAATATTAGGTGCCTTTTAAAATGTAGTGTACTACTGCATAAGGCATTTCAGAACAGGTGTTCAGGTTACAGTAACTTTACTGAAGTTAGTTAACATCTAGCATCCTGAAAATTCCTAGTTCAACCATACAGAAGAGGAAGAAATTAAGTGCTGTGGTGAGAATATTACTATTCTGTATAACAGTGTGTTGTCTTTTAACTTTGTTTACAAATAGGTGATAAGGTGATACTGAAAAGTCAGGTCTACTCTGACCATATAATAGAGTACATTGCCTATATTACTGAGGTAAGCAAGATGTATCTCCTGTTGAAAATGCTGTGACCCACAGGTTTCAAAGGGGAACCTGGCAAGTTCTGGAGTTAGAGTAGTTTAACCTGACTTCTTGGTAGCTATACTTGTTTTATCTACATTCTGAGTGGTGATCTTGTGTTTTTATTGTATTTTTTGAAGGCTTTGACTTCCCTCATCTTCCTAGATTATAATCTTGACCTTCTCTGAGAGCACTCACAACATAATTTAGATATGCAATACGTTGACAGCTGGTAAATCTAAGTGTTGGTTTTGGACCTGATAGGGGGGGAAGGTTGAATACTTTCAAAGACATTTATTTGTTTAAAGTATTCAACTTTCATTTGTAAACTGACATTTTTAATCTTTGCAACAGATATGTAATGAAGATGTTTTTCTTAAATGTAATGCAGACTTTGAACAGGCTTACAACTTGGAACCCATGGATGTGGAATTTGTTCATTGCAGGTATTTTTAGAAGTTTACACAAATCTGAGTTTGATTCCTCTAGTAAAGAGATTTGGAAAATATACCTGACTGTCAGTTGGTTGCTCTGGTGGATACAGAGAAGAAAGACATAGTAAAGATCTTGCCAATTCTTTCACCTCTTTCCCCCACACACCTTGGCTACTACAGTCATTGGTAAACAACTGCAACTGTAGTCACAGTATACAAAGTATTCTTGTCTTAAGCTTCTCTAAATGATTGCTCCAGTGCCAGGCAGTGAAATGGTGGGAAGGATGAGGAAGAGTGGTTTGGTTTGGGTTTTTTTTCATGTGGTGTTCTGTTGTATTGTTGTGGGGGTTTTTTTTAAGGAAAAACTATACTACCGTTGCTGCAAGACTATGCAAAAAACTGCTGATGTTAACCACCCCTTTTTTTATACTTTTGTCTTATTATCGGAAGGTTATTATCTGTACAGAGTTACTTAATATTTTCTGTAAAATTAGTTTGCAGAGAACTTTGAAAGACTAAGTCTGTAACACCAGGCCATCTTTTTCTTACTGAAGACCTAAAGAATCTATGTATTAATGTTGCAGCATAGCAAAACTGTTCCCTTTTTTTATACTTTTGTCTTATTTGAGGGATGTTATTATCTGTACAGAGTTACTTAATATTTTCTGTAAAATTAGTTTGCAGAGAACTTTGAAAGACTAAGTCTGTAACACCAGGCCATCTTTTTCTTACTGAAGACCTAAAGAATCTATGTATTAATGTTGCAGCATAGCAAAACTGTTGATTGGCACTTATGCAGCATATTTCTCAATAGATACGTCTTTAAAAAAAAAAGTGGGTTTATATAAAACTGCTATTTATATGCACTGGTGCATAGTAAAAAATACTGGATACCTTGTGTGTGCTACTGTAGTTATGGAAATGTAAGTTTTTACTTTTAATCTACAAATGTGTATTCTGATAACAGGATTACTAGCAGGCGATGCCAGTTGGCAGTTGAACAAGCTACCTGCCTGGGTGAAAAAGGTACACTTCAGTTGACTTAAGCTGTTTAGAGGAGTTTGAGGGGAATCTTGTTTTATATTGCTTTTAAATCAGGGCATACTGAAAATAATGCATTGTAATTTGCTCTTATAGGAGATCTGTCTTTTTGGTGTTGTGTTTTCTTTTTAAACAATTCTGACTTAGAGTAGGTGTCATCAGAATGATTTCATCTGTTGGCCAATTGCAGGAGAGAGGGGTGGAAATGAACTTTTGTGAACTGTTTGAGCCAATAAGAACTATGGAAATCATACTGTTACAATAGTAGGAAGTAAAATGGCAGTATTTTGTGTTACCTCAGAATGTATTAAAAAGCACTGTCGTCTTTGGTAGTTGAGTAGAACAATCTGTGTGAACTTCACACAGGTCATTACCACTTCAATAAATCAGTTCGGGCAACCTTAGTGCAAGCTGATATATCAACAGTAATGTAGCCAGTGAAATGTGCAAAGTGTTTGTGGCTTTCAAATTTCTCTTTTTCTTCTAAATTGGAAGTGCTATTTCCAGAAAAGCTTGTCCTGAAATCACCACAAGCTATCAAGACCCAGAATACTACTGAGAATTGTGGTGTTGATAGTGGCCTGGAACAGTGTTCCCAGCAGGAAAGTAAGGTATCTGTTCTGTAAATATTCCCTAAAATGCTGAGTACCATTCAGCTTGGTAAGAGATAACTACTCTACAGCTATTGTTAGAAAGGAATTGTGTAATGTCAGATGGAAGGTGCTTGTAAAAAAAAATTGTGTTATAATTGAAATTGTCAGATTTGCCTTAGACTAGTTTTCCTTCTGTTGAGTAGATACTTAAGTTCTGTCATTGTGGCAGGAAATAATAATATGATGGGTAGTCATCCTGTTGTGAGTAAATTTATCCAGGCTTCTTAACTGCTAGTTAAATTATGTGAAGAAAATGTAGAAATCTTTCCAAGGAAAGGACTTCAGAAGTTTACCTATTTGTCCTTCCCATTTGAAGCAGGACTGTCACAAACACCAAATGAAGTCATTTTTGGAATGGGTGGGACATGTTTCTTTTTCTCTAGAGATTCCATAACTTCTGCTTTTACCACTTTCCACTCAAGATTTTTTCCTAATCCCCAGTATGAATCTTTCACCTGCAACTTGAGGATGTGGTCTCTTGTTAATATCATGTGTGACCACAAAAAAGAATTAGTCTCTCTTTATTTATAACTTATTTAAGCCATTGTGGGCTATTGGACTGCCTCTTCGCTTCTTCATGGCCAAATTACAAATCCAAGTTCTCTCAGCCTCTTCAGTTCATAACAAGAACACTTTATTGGCTTGCATGCAGTTCTAGCATCCACAGTAACCCAGGATCCAGCAAAAGGCCTGAGGATTAATACTTTGCATATTCTCAGCCTGTCTTGGTTCGTACAGTTTGGCAGTTCCAGGTGAGGAGCTTTCCACTTCTCCTTACTGAATTTCATTTCATGAGTTTTCTGTTGGCTCTGTTGTCAAGTTTCTCATGGTCCCCCTGAACCGAAGATGCACCATCAGACATACAAGGTATGACTCCGATTTTGTTTGCAAATTTTTCAAGGGTGTTACCTGGTCTTATCCCAGTCATTGATGAAAATACTGAATAATAAGTGTCCCAACAAACCTGGGGTTCTTGGCTTTTGGCCAGCTTCCAGCTAGTATCAAACTATAGATTAATATTCTTTGAGCCCAGTAGTTCAGTCAGTTTTCAACTCATCTGTTGATCTAGCTAAAATGTCCTCAGGCTACAATTATAAATGATGTGCTAAATAAACCATTTCAAAAGCCTTGCTGAGATCAAGGAGTATTAAAATGACTGCTTTTCTTTTGTAGCTGTAAAAGTCTGTCCACGTAAGTTTCCTCATCATAGAGAAAACTCACTTTGGTCATGAAAGGTCTGCCCTGTGGTTTAGCCATGCTGACTATTCCCAGTCACCCTTTTTCCAGTCATGTGAATGACGTGGAATCCAGAAGGATGTGCTCCACAATATTCTGGGGGACTGGAGTGAAGCTAATGAGCTATAGTTTGCCAGGTTTCTTGCTTTCTCCTGCTTTCTCAGATTTCCTGGCTTATGATAATTTATTATTATGGATAATAGGCAGCAGGGTCCACAATCAGATCAGTGTGGTGAATCACATCTACTCTATTTGGTGTCTGTAAGCAGTTTGTAGTATGATACTTCCCTTCTGTTACTTCTTCCTTTCCTTCCCATACTGTCACTTTGCATGGGAGTCTGGAGGCCTGCATGTGAGGCAGAAAGAACAGCGAGTTCTTTTCCATATCAGCCATCAATAAATTCTTATCTATGAGCCTGTGATTCTTGAACTGTCTGCCTTGCACCACATTTGCTAAATCCCTTATTACTCTGTTATTGCCGCATTTTAGCTTCAGCTGTACTTTATTGTCTTACTTCCCTGATTATTTTTTTTCCCAACTATCTAAGCAGTGTTTTTTATATATTGCCTGTCCTTGTTTTCGCTTGTAATAAACTTTTTATAAATTGATCAAGAAGTTATATGCTTTCCTAGGCAGGCCTTCTACTGAAATTCCTGGTGATCTTGTGCAATAAGGTGGATTGCTTATGATGTCTCAATAAGCAAATTCTGGTTCTCCTGGGAACCTTTTGCCCCCCATGGTAGCTTCTCAGAGGATTTTGCCTTATAATTTCTTACAGAAAGATTTCTTACCACATTCCCTACAAGCAGTTTTCTCCCATGCTGTAATCTGAAAGAGCTATCATCTTCGTGGTATGGAATGTGAATGTTAACTTATGTGTAAGGAAACAAGTTAACCTGGCCATGGCTTGAAAATTCTCATTGGAACCTTCAAAGTGTTTGTGAAATAAATGTTTGATGTTAACATGAGCCTAATTTTAAATATCTTAAATTGGAAGTGGGAGTTCCTGCACCTTCTCCCACTATCTTAGTGTCTTCAACGTAGATATTCGATTCAGTGGGATATTGCTGTTGGGAAAAGTTAAAACCAAGCAACTTCAGAAGTGTTAGTGAAGATAGTTGCCCCTTGTCTTAAGGTTATAAATGCATTTATCTTCACTTGCTGTTTTCAGGTCAAAAAACTGCAGAACAAACAGGCAAAAAGCATGGCATCAAGGGAGATGAATGTAACAGGTGCGATGAGAGTAACTGTGCTAACAAACCAACCTGGTATTCTTTACTACATGATATTCAAGTAGAGACAGTTTAGGGTTGCAATCATTTCAGTAAAGCAGGGTTGAAGTAAGACACTTCTTAGATGTTGTCGTGTTGTTATAAAAATAAATTCTTGAACGAAACTAGCAGGAAATTTCATTGGAGTCTTTCTGTGGATTACTTTAAAATGTTTCCAGTTCATAAAATCATAGAGTGGTTTGGTTTGAAAAGGACTTTAAAAGACCATCTAGGTCCAGCCCCCCTGCTCTGGGAGGGAGCACCTTGTGCTATACCAAGTTGCTCAAAGCCCTTTCCAACCTGGCCTTGAACACTTAGAGGGAGGAGACAGCAAACATCTGGTGATGTATTTTGTACTCAATAAATTATCATTTTCCAGTCTTCTACTGGAAAATGTTTTGTCATGTTCAAAGTTTTCAATTTGTAATTGGGATGCTGTATCTCATCCTTGGGATAGCTACTTTTAAAAAGATGCTAAAGCTTTAGGAAAGTTTTCAGAAAGCCCAGATAATTCCTGTGTTTTTCTGAAGCGTGACTTTAAATATCATCATACTTAATTGCCAAAAAGCTGATTTTATAATTTTGTAGCAATAGGTTGCCTAAAGAAATATGGAATAGATTACCTAGAACAAACTTCTGTCCGAGGGTTAAAAAGATTCTGCTGTAGAATGCTAAAACTAAACTAGTACAGACAGGATTAAGAAAAAAAATTTAAGTAGTCATGACTTACTACTGGTCATCTGATACTGTCCCTGAAGTACCAGTTACTAAAAGTTACTGAAATCTTACTAATGCTAAAATTGCTGAATAGAGTTCTTAGATTGTGGGGTTAAGTAATCATAGTTCTTTTCTGTTTTAAAGTTTTATTAAAGATCCAATATACTTCTAAAATGTTATTGGCTTATTTCTTACATGCTATTCTATGAAATCAAAATTTTTTAGGAATTTATTAGTTGTTACCACATAAGAAAAATGAAACATTTTTTCAGCCTAATGTGAATTGGAATTTCTTTAATCTATGTATGTTAAAAATATTTATGTGGCATTTTAATATATGCTTATTTTGATTATAGGTGGTGAAACTGTGACACTTCAACAGAGAGCTGGTGAATTTTTCAATCCTATGCTGAATGAGCAACAGAAGTTGGCAGTGAAAAGGATACTGAGTGGTGAATGTCGCCCAATTCCTTATGTTCTCTTTGGGCCACCGGGAACTGGAAAAACTGTAACAGTAATTGAAGCCATTTTACAGGTATTGGTGGATAACAAGTCAGTCATCTTTAATCTTTTCAGTGTTGGAACACTGAAGTCATTTTCTAAATACCACCATATTATTTTTTCCCAAGGAGTTCTCAAGTTGAGTAACACTTTCTATAGCTCTATGAAAGAAGAAAGATCTTGGTATGAGTGCATCCTTAACAAGTTTGCTGAAGACACCAAAGCATGTGATGAAGTCAACAGGCTGGAAGGGAGGGGTGTCTGTCTAGAGGGACCTCTGTGACAGGGAGAAGTGGGCTCGTGCAAACTGCATGAGGTTCAGTGAGGCCAAGTGCAAGGTCCTGCATGTGGCTGGGGCAATCCCAAGCACAGCTACAGGCTGGGTGGAGAATGAGTTGAAAACAGCCTTGAGGAGAAGGACTTGAAGATGGTAGTGGACAAGAAGCTCAACATGAGCCAGCAGTGTGCACTTGCAGCCCAGAAAGCCAGCCATGTCCTGGGCTGCATCAAAAGAAGTGTGGCCAGCAAGTCAAGGGAGGTGATTCTCCCCCTCTACTCAGGTTGTGAGACTCCAGCTGGAGTACTGTGTCTATTTCTGGAGCCCCCAACATGGAGCTCCTGGAGAAAGTCCAGAGAAAGACCACAAACATGATCCAAGGGCTGGAGCACCTCTCCTATGAAGAAAGGCTGAGAGAGTTGGGGCTGTTCAGCTTGGAGAAGAGAAGGTTTCCAAAAGACCTTATACTGGCTTTCCAGTACCTGAAGGCGACCTACAAGAAAGCTGGGGAGGGCAGCAAGGGAAAGCAATGGTGTGGAGGGGTGTAATGGATTAAAACTGGAAGATGGGAGTTTTAGGTTAGACATTAGAAAGAAGTTCTTTAGTGTGAGGGTGGTGAGGCGCTGGAACAGGTTGCCCAGGGAAGTTGTGGAAGCCCCATCCCTGGAAGCGTTCAAGGCCAGGTTGGATAGGGATCTGAGCAACCTGATCCAGTGAGAGATGTCCCTGCCCATGCAGGGGGGTTGGGACATGGTGATCTTTAAGGTCTCTTCCAACCCAAGCTGTTGTGTGGTTCTGTGATACAGATTTAACTGAATTGCTGAATGGCTTATTTTCAAGTCTTCTTGTCTTGGTCTTTAAAGCTTTAATGAACAGTATCTAACTTGTGATTCTAGTAGTGCATAATATATTCATGAAGCACAGGTATACATTCATAAAATAACAGTTAATTCTGCTGTCACTGCACTTCAGTTTGAGAGTACTTAGTCATGACTGTCAAGACTAGTGTTCTTGAACTGCAAAAGATGTATGAATATAACATATGCAAAACTCCTCTGGGTCCTTTATTCAGTGAAGAAAAACAGACCTTTTCTGAGCTAGTGCTGCTTCTCTAACTAATGTTTTTTTAATGTCCATCTTCTTTAATATAGATACATTATACTCTACCAGACAGTCGAGTTTTGGTTTGTGCACCATCAAATGCTGCAACAGATTTGATTTGCTTGCGGCTGCATCAAAGCAATCTGTTAAAACCAGGAGCCATGGTCCGAGTTAATGCTACCTACAGGTCACCAGAGGTAAATACTAGGTATCTGCCAGTTAGTATTTCCATTTCAATATTTTGGTCTTAAAATACTGATGTAGTAATTTAGCTGTCAGTGGTTATTAGGCTGGCTAGGCTTGTTTATTATCCAAAGTACAAACATATTACTTCAGCTTTTCCAGCAGATAGACAAAAATGTTGAACATAATCCTTCGTTTGGTTGTATGATCATAGAATCTTAACCTGTTTCCTGCAGTACTCAACTCCACAAGCAGCACATACATACTGCTGGGATGTTTCACGTGGTAAGATGTTTTGATGTACAGAGTCATCCTAAAATTTGTGACTGAAATCAAGCAGTAATCTCCAAATTCTGACTACTTAGACAGAAAAGTAGGCAAGTAGGACTGTCATCTTTGTAAGTACACACACAGTGTGTGAATTTTATAAATTTGAATATATTCATATGTGTATGTAATGTCCATATGTTCAATTTTGATCCTTACAAGCAAGAAAGCACAGATGTCTTGCATATGAACTACTTTGTTTAGACATTGAAAAATTCATTTTGGTGTGTGAATGGGTCTAAGTGTTTTGCTCAGCTTCTAAAATAGTTTTCAGTGGGCTTTTTTATTCAAATAAAAATGTTATGTTTTAGAGTGGTATTTTGTTTTACAAAATATCTTTTTCTTCCTGCAGCAAATAGATGATGTGCTGAAGCCTTACTGTGAAGAGGCTGATGACATTCGGAAAGCATCGTGGTTCAGGATAATTATTACTACATGCAGCACTGCAGGAATGTTTTATCAAACAGAAATACGGTAGAGTACTGTAAACAGGAATATCACTGAGATAGCTGGATGCTGCAAAACCCAGAGGTTTCATATAACCCTCTGTACTCTAACTTGAGCTGTTTTAATACAGTTTATCACATGTGCCTCTGTTGTGAAATTGTTTTCCTAGCAAGCTGATTAGTTCTTTAGCAGAGACTTTCTCCAGGGTAAATTTTATTAATTAACTTGAATAATGTTAAAAATGTTGGCACAGTAACTTCTCCTCCACTACCAGTGGTAGCCTTGGAAATTACATTGCTAATTGCTACACTAAAAATTATATTGTATTGAGTTTCTATCAAGTCATCTTTACTAACTGTAAACAACCACCATGTCAAGTGCTGTTAACTAAAGTTTCCTCTGGTTTTTATTTTAACTTTGTAAAATGGCTGCCTGAAGCCTGATTGCCTTGGTAGAAGCAAAGCCTGAGGATTGTCTTTGCGCCAAGTGTATTGTTCTAATTTAATAGCTGAAGGACATTGAGAAAAATTAAGGGAAAGTGCCTTAATCTTGATATAAACAATGTTTTAATTAAGATAACCAGTGGCTGTTTAGATTAGGGTATGTAAACAAAGTCAAAGATGGGAAGTGGAAGGGGGTTGTTTTTTCTATAGTCTGTGTTGAAAATACCCATCGTTGCTCTGTGTGCATGGAGTTGCTTGAAGGTAACAATTTGCTGAGGTCAACCACAGGGTGGCAGAATGAACTAATCTGAAAACAAGCCCTGGTTTGGGGTTCGTGTTGTTTAATTCTAGGCTTGGACACTTCACTCATGTGATTCTGGATGAAGCAGGGCAAGCAAGTGAACCAGAGAGCCTGATTCCTATTGGATTGATTTCAGAATCTAATGGACAGGTAGCTTTCTTACTATCATTTATTGAAAGGAAAGAAGTTTTAGTGTACTGTTTTGGGTTTTGTGTTGGATGTAGAATGCAAGCAGCCATTTCATGGTATTGAGTATGGACTTCTGCGTACTTGCAATAGGTTTTATTCATGCACAATATCCATTTCCCACACTTAAAACACATTTTTTTATGTATCTAAAACAAGACTAATTGGCAGAACATGATTCAGTGTGTGGAAAATGTCAAAATAAAAGTAGGCTTTCCTAGCTTAAGGCAACAATGTACTTCTGGGTCTAATCTTTCCATGCAAGCAGATTAGAAGTTTGGAGGAAGGCAGAATACTTTATACAAATTGACTTTTGAATTCTGAATTCTAAAGTGTGTATGTTGTTATTGAAACTGTTTTTCAAAAACTTTTAATACAAGATGGATTTTTTTAATTGCATGTACAGATAGTACTTGTTGGAGATCCAAAGCAGTTAGGACCAGTAATAAAATCTAAAATTGCACTGAATTTTGGATTAAATATGCCCTTGCTGGAAAGACTGACATCAAGAGAGATATATCTGAGAGATGAGGATGCTTTTAGTGCCTGTGGATCATATAATCCTTTGTTGGTGAGTAAAATTACAATTTTAATTTTTTCATGTAAACTTAAGAAAAGGAGAAACTCTGGTTCCTGCTGTTCCACTACCACTTTTTTACTCCCTGATGCTTAGTGATAAGTGTATCTTAAGCATCAGTTTTCTTGGAAAGCTTGATTATTTTGAATATATATTGTGAATAGCAAGGATGCTGAGCCCTCTAGCACATTAAAGCCCTTCTTTGAAGGGATTCTCTATTCTTAAAGTGGAGTAAGTCAAATAAGGTGCACAAAGCAGAACTGTAAATAATGGCTTCAAATTCCCTTCTTCATTGTCCACGTTTGTCATAACTTAGTTCTCCACAAATGAACAAGTGCAACTTCTACTTTTAGCATAAAAAGAAAAACAAAGCCTCCTATTTAAACATAAAGATTATTTTTGCAAACTTCATGTTCCAGGAAGGGGAAAAAAAACAACTGTTCCTGTTTCTTTATAACCCTTTCCTCTGAAGGATAGCTTCCCAAAACTCTTACATGGTGAAGTACCTCAAGTCTGTGTTAAGTGGCAGAGGTATCATAGTGCTTAAATGAGCACAGATGTTTCAGCTGCTTTAAATATTTGTCTGAATCTGAAATAAAGGACTAAAGTTAAGCTTACTAAGATGCCTTCCTAATTCTCATAGTAATATACTTTGAAGAGTCAAACTGAGCAAAAGATGACAAGATGACTATGTAAGTAGAGGAGGGAGGAAATCTGATGGCGGACGTAAGGGGAAAAGTGGAGGTTGGATTCAGCCCACAGAAAAACCTGTCACACTTCCTCCTAAAATCTGTTAAGGCAAACTTTCATTGGTGTGTTCCTTATGCAGTGCTTAAGGAGAATTGATGTAATGAGAGAGCAGGAAATTAAGGCTTTAAAGATACCATTGGACTTAAGTATCATATGTTAGACTTTTTACAGGAAGTTTGGGGGTTTTTTGAGCTGGTTATTATTGACTGGAATGCTTCCTTAAGGCCGTTCTCTCATTTAAAGGCAAATATATTTCTGGTTTCTAAAGGCCAACTATCAGGTGTTCTGATGCCCCCTTTCTGCTTGTCAAGACTTCCTCAAAAAAACCAAAGAACCTAAACAAACAAAAAAACAAACAAAAAAAAAACCCACCAACCTGTTACATTCCTGGAGTTCCCATGAGAAGAATCTGACTCTCTTAAAAAAGAATGTGGTGTTTTAAGAAACTGGAGAATGACCAATTCATCTATCACATATATTCAGGTCTATTTTTTCTTTTTCCTTTGGAGGGAAAAGAGATTGTACTTCAAAAAACTGATTAAATATTTACCGATAGATGATCATACCTGCAGTTTTTGCCTTTAATACAGTTTAATGCAGTTCTTCAGCAGCTTTAGAAAAGCTAAATGGTAGAGGATGGTGAGGCAATATCTGCTTGAGAGCTGTGTACTGGGAAGTCAGAAGAACAATTACCTGTTTCAGTTATGGATTTAGTTTTTTGTCTTTGCAGATCACAAAACTTGTAAAGAATTACAGGTCACATGCTGCACTGCTTGCCTTGCCATCTAAATTGTTTTATCATAAGGAGCTAGAAGTTTGTGCAGACTCTTCAGTAGTAAGTTCATTGCTGCATTGGAGGAGATTGCCCAGGAAGGGATTTCCATTAATTTTTCATGGAATAAGGGTATGTAAAATGTTCATATAGTGAAAGTATTAATAAGGAGACCTGATAGAAGCTTGCTGATTTTTTAGGTGAGTTTTCTTTAGAATTCTAGTAAGGTTATGAAAAAAAAAGAAACTTTTTTGTGCAAGTAATGTGACTTCCTGACCATCTGGTTTTAGAAAAAACTATCCAAGTCAAATGTATGCTAAGAGCTTGAGCAGCTGCTGTGTGTATTGTGGAGACATCTTGATGCAAGTTTAAATTTGTAGCAGATTGACCAAGATGGAGCTACAGTTAGCTGCCTTTCCATTGCTTTGGATTAGAGTTTGCTAGGTTAGAATGAATGCAAGCTGCTAACTCTACAGGTTTATTAAGGCTTCACTTTTTTTTTTTGCATTTAAGTTGTATAAGAATAATCTATTAATAGATACATAGTCAGAGCTGCACGTGGTGGTCATCGTATCATTTCCTTTTCCCTAATACAGGGCAGTGAACTACGTGAAGGTCACAGTCCTTCATGGTTTAATCCAACAGAAGCAGTTCAGATAATGCAGTATTGTTGCCACCTTGCTAAAAGCGAATACACTGCAGTGTCAGTGGCTGACATTGGAGTGATTACACCGTATCGGAAACAGGTATAACTGGTGTCTAGAGTGTTGTTGTTGCTGTGTTTCATCTTGTGGTTTGTGATTTGTGGTTGTGGCCATGGTTTGGTAAAGCAGGGAGGCGTATCTCAGCACTTCACTGTTGTGTGTCATATTACACGGTGTATTATCAATCATTAATGAAGTTTCCATTGAAGTCTAAGCCTAAAGAATGACAGCACGAATGGCATTCTACTTTAAGTTTTAAAAATCAGGAAATTATTAAGAAGAGATATTGCAGTTTTGGAGACAAAAGCAGATTTTCAGTTGTTGGGAGTAAAGAGTGCAAGTCAAGAATTTATTAGCTAACGGTTAAAACAGCAGTCTGATTCTGTCATACTATGTGCTGGGGAGTAGGGAAGTAGGTGGTATGTCACCTTGTTATGCCTTTGAGAAAACTAGAGGAATTGAAACTTCCTAGTTGTGCTGTAATCAGAGTTAAAGTTTGTGTTGCTATTGCAACTTCTAGAAAGTGTTGAAAGTCAACTTGAAATGCTGTGCCTTCAAATGCAGAATGCGAAGGCTTTCATTTTTAAAAGATTAGATCTCTTTTCATTTCCAGAGGATGCTCTGGACAGTGTGCATATTGTTTTTCTTGATGTTCAACCTCTGTATTCATGGCATTGCATGCATGGCTTGGGTGAAACACTGAGGTGTGTGGAAAAGACCAACCCCTTTGGAATAAAGCTCACTTGCAAATTAGAGCTCTGTCTGTACTGATCATACTGGTCAGGTAGGGACCTGCCCATGTTTACAGTTACAATTTATTTTTCAAATATTTTTATGTAGTGTTGGTCTGACTGCACCTCTTATACTCCCTAAAGCATCTTACATCATTTAATATGGTTGTCGTTCCATCTGCCTGTGGTGCAAGACATACAGTGCTAATGTCCACTCCAAAAAAAGTCACCTTGCATTGCAGGAAGTCTGATTAGAAACTAGTCATTGACTGTTATTTTCAGTTCAGGTAGGCATTATTTCTTGGCAAATTCCTTGGAGCACTTGAGGGATAGTCTCTTAGCAGCTCTTAGCACATGGTAATATACTGATCCCACACAAAGCAGCATGTTAATGTATGAGAGTCCTTGTTCTCTTTCTGGTCTTGGGCGTGCTCTTAAGGTCACATCTCACCTCTTTCTTTTATTCTGCGTGATGCAGCTGGCAAGCAAAGATGGAATCTCTGCACAGTCTTCTTGAGGGGCTGGGGAAACCACTTGCTCTACCACATCTGTGGTAAACTTGGGTTTGGATACAATGCACAGTGGAAGGGAGATATTTTCAGTTCAGGTAGGCATTATTTCTTGGCAAATTCCTTGGAGCACTTGAGGGATAGTCTCTTAGCAGCTCTTAGCACATGGTAATATACTGATCCCACACAAAGCAGCATGTTAATGTATGAGAGTCCTTGTTCTCTTTCTGGTCTTGGGCGTGCTCTTAAGGTCACATCTCACCTCTTTCTTTTATTCTGCGTGATGCAGCTGGCAAGCAAAGATGGAATCTCTGCACAGTCTTCTTGAGGGGCTGGGGAAACCACTTGCTCTACCACATCTGTGGTAAACTTGGGTTTGGATACAATGCACAGTGGAAGGGAGAGGATTTATGGGTCCAAGTTGTTCTTCCCTGATTCCTGTTTCAATAATGCTAGGGAGTACCTCACCTTCTAAGCTGTGTTGATACTTCTCAGAAAAAAGTTAGTTTTATTTTAAAACCTTATTAGAGAATGATGGCTAAGCTTGGTGTAGGCATTCCCTGTGACATCTGTGTTAAATCCTCTACTGGTGTATGTAGTATATTTTCCATTTTGAAGTAATCCACTCTCAAATGTAAAAATAAGTTCCTTAAAACACTTTCTTGTAGGTGGAAAAAACTAGACTTCTTCTGAGAAGCGTTGATTTGGCAGACATTAAAGTTGGCACAGTAGAAGAGTTTCAAGGACAGGAGTACAAGGTTATCATTCTATCAACAGTATGTATATTTCTTGTGGTCCTGTGAAGAGTTTTTGTATGTGGTTAATTCTTTGTGTTTCTTTTTTGATGTTTAGGGCTTCTAAAAATTAAAATTGAAAAGCTCTATTTTTGTCAGTCTGTCACAGTATTTGAAAACAGCTTATTTTTCAGTGCATGGAAACTGATTTTGAGGTAAACCTTAACCCTTTTTAGGCGCTCATGCTGACTTTTAGTTTCATGCAGATAATGTACCTTTTGCTTAAGTTTGCATAAAGAGAATGGAAACTGGGTGCATTATTAATAGTAGAGACAACTGTGTAAATCAGAGTATTAAAAAGCAATTGCTATTTGACTCCTAAAAGCTGATGTAGGTTCTTAAATTCTTTTTCACCTTCCCCTTGAGAATTGTCATATAATGGCATACTTCCCAGATGACTTCCCAGTTGCTTTTGAGGGTCCTTCTGTGGCTTTGAGAAAGAGGGATTTTCTTGCTTGGTTTTTTTCAGTGTTGTTTTTTTCCCCAAGGGCAGTGGTACTATGCTTGCTTTCTTTGTTCTGCATCATACCATAGCTTTTCAGTCCAGCATTGTCTATCTCTTAAAAGTAGTTTTATGTATGTAGTCTGCTTCTGTTTATAAGGACTCATTATTTAGGTAATGGAAATTTTATTCTATCAAAGATCAGTTCAAATACAGATTAACTAGTTTTCCACCTCCATTTATTTAGAGCACACTACTTGCTTTGGTTCTTTTTTCTAAACTAAGTCAAAGCACACTGAGACTACTAAAGAAGGCTTGCAGAAAGACACTGTGAATTGTCATTCATCTGTCAGAATTAGAATACCAGAAGCACTAGCATGTCTTCTACCAAAAAGATAAAACCACTGGTTTTTTGGGTATCTTGTGTTTCAAATTACTGTGGGTAATAAAACTAGCTTGCCACTCTCTTGAAATGGCTGAATTTGCATTAGCAGCCTGTTGGGGAATAGACCTTCTGTGGGAAAGCCAATGGTGGGAGATAGCTAGCTGAAATTTGGATTATAAAGCAACTTTTGCATTACTGACACTAAGCTGCAGATTGCTGCAGTAAGCAAATGTTATGTTAAAGTTATGGCTATGCTAGGGACGTTGCTTTCTTATTATTTCTAAAATTATCCATAATTACTTTTAGGTGCGATCTCATGAAGGTGCTTTTGGTGATGAAAAATCCTATTTGGGCTTTCTTTCTAACCCAAAGAGATTTAATGTAGCAATTACTAGAGCGAAAGCTTTGCTGATTGTTGTGGGAAATCCTCATGTTCTCGTGAAAGTAAGTTTTGGTTTTATATCTTTTAATTGCATGTGGTATTTGCCACGGTAAATTAATTATCTGGGTGATTAATCTGATGTAAGGGAACATCTGATTATGTAAAGAATTGGTATGGTGTCATCAGCCTGCATTTGGGAATATCCAACTCCATAGGTTCCTCCTATAAATACAGACAGTTGAGGCCACCCACACAGTAGACTTCCAAGCACAAAGGAAATAATAAAGCTGATCTGTGCATACAGGCTCCTACCTACTTTTTCTTTCTAGAATACATCAGAGTCTCTATGCTGAAATTCTCCAGCAGACTCCAAGTTCAGTAAGCATGCTCTGAATAACATTATACAATCAGATTATTAACAAAATGCAGTTGCTTCATTTTTTAAATGGAGGGTGGTAGAAGTGACTGTTCCAAATGAATGTAGCAGTATAGTGGGTCTCCTTTTGAAGGCAGAGTCCTTCCATGGGAATAAGGTGAGTGTTTTTTATTTGATGTTATATCTGACTTCCTGGATAATAAGAAAAGCAGTGTCCCAGAAGTGGTCTGAGAAGAAAGTTTATTCTCCACACCTGCATGCAACAAATATAACCTAGAGCAGCTCTGAGTATCTTCCACGTTACACCACGCTTGCAGCATTTGTAGAGTCCTGTTTCTGGAAAAGGTCCTATTAAATCTCCTGCATTCAGGTGTCCTGTTAATTTGTTTTACAATACACTTCGGAGCAGCATGATTGAAATTAAGTCTTCTCTTGCAGGATCCCTGTTTTTGTGCACTGTTAGAGTACAGTTTAATGAATGAAGTTTATGTAGGTTGTGACCTGCCTTCAGAGCTGGAACGGCTGCAGAAGTGAGTGGTCTTCACTTTAGCCATGCTACATATGGATCACTTTACAATACTTTAAAAGCTACTGTAATTTTGAAAGACTGATAAATACAACAATGTGTGATTATCACAGTAGAATTATATTTTTGCATTCTTAAGTACTGTAAATATAACATATAATGTAACCATATTTTCTTTCACTCTGTAAGAAGAGTCAGAACATGAAATAACAGCTGTCATTGACTGGTGTTTTACATATCCCCAGATAATGCTTTATGTATTTGACCATAAGAATTTGGGGGTAGGGGACAGAGGATACAGGGGAAATGCTTAAGATAACACTATTGTAATGAAAGAAATTTGCTGGAAGAATGATTTAAACATGTCCCTTCTAGTAACATGTAATACATTGTTAAATGGGAATTATCTACTAGATTAAACTCTCAGTTGTCTTGGGTTTGGGTTTTTTTAATCAAAATGGTTGTTCATGGAAGGTAAGCACAATATTTTGTTCCCTTTATTTGACAGGTGTGACTAGTTTTTCATTGTTCAAAATGCATTCAGTCCTCATCTGTTTTGAAATTAAGACTATTTAACAGAAATTCCATCCTGAGCAAATCCAGCACCTTTTGCCCTCAGGGAAAGGAACAGGTTCTGAAATAGTTGGAAGTTTCTTCAGACAAGATTGCTAATACTTTTCTAAGTACTTAAAAGTTGAAATTTAATACTGTTAAAATAGTAGTGGGAATTTGTTGCTTTACAATTTAAAATAAATAAGACTTCATGCATCTACAGAGAACAGTATGCCTGGATCTGTAACAGTATGTCTGAATACTCCAAGCTTCAGAAAAAGGATATTGATGAAGTCTGACTTTAGCTTTTCTTTGTTCTATCATTTTGTCAGTGTCGCAGTTTTTTCAGACTTTTGTAGTGCCTCCTAAAACTGAACCATCCCAAACAACATGTGTCCTGATATTTTGTTACAGGAGTGTCACAGTAATACATCCATAATGTGAGCTGAAATTATACATTAATATCCCCACTTGACTGATGTTGAGTATCTTATGTCAAGCATGCTTAAAAACACTACTCCCTATTTTTAAGACCTTTGTATATACAGCTGAGATCACACAGGATGTTCCTGACTTTGCACTGCAGTCCAGCTATCTGCTGTGGTGTATGTCAGAACACTGCCTCAAATTGTGGATTAACAGCAACAACATTAAAACCATGTTTTGTGTTTCTACAAATACACTGTAGAAGGAAGTATTGTGGTTTGTTTTGACAAAAATAACTCATGGGTTGGCAATATTCCTGGTATCAGCTTCATTTGGCCCATAGACAATTGGGTTTTTTCTCTTTTTCTGTCCTCTTGTCTTGCCACACAACACTTCAGGAATAGTTGGACAACCCCATGTACCAGTACAGGCTGGGGCCTGACCTGCTGGAGAGCAGTGTAGGAGAAAGGGACCTGGGGGTCCTGGTGGACAGGAGGGAGATCATGAGCCAGCAGGGTGCTCTTGTAGCCAAGAAGGCCAATGGCATCCTGGGGTGTATTAGCAAGAGTGTGGTTAGCAGATCAAGAGAGGCTCTCCTCCCCCTCTAGTCTGTGTTGGTGAGGCCACATCTGGAGTATTTTGTCCAGTTCTGGGCCCCTCAGTTCAAGAAGGACAGGGAACTGCTTGAAAGAGCCCAGCACAGAGTCACAAAGAAAAACCTCTCATCAATGATGCCAGGCCAGTACTCTACATCAAACCTGGGGTTCTGCAGTCTGGACAGGAAAAAAACCAGGCTGGATCAGGTAAGTTGCTGGAGCCAAACAAGGCAGCCCAACCAGCTCACTGTAGATTGACAAATGCAAACAAGAGGAAGTAACAGGTCCTAGTGATGGGAGGCTCTGATCCAAGAGGCAGAGAGACACCCATTTGCCAGCCAGACCCACTCCCTGGAGAGGTTGTTGCTTGTCAGGGGCTCACATAAGGGGTGTCACTGAAAGACTACCCAAGCTTGTACATCCCACTGACTGCTGTCCACTGCTGCTGTTTCATGTGGGCTCCAGTGATACTGAAATGAGAAATCTCAAGACTATTAAGAGAGATTACAGAGTCCTTGGAACAGCACTGAAGTATTCAGAAGCACAGTCTTTCCATCGATCCTCCTGATCAAAGGGGAGGGGCTTGAAAGGGCAAATTGCATTGGGAAAAATCAATAAATGGTTATGGGAGTGGTGTCACAGCCAGGGAGACTTGCTTTGGAAAACCTGGTCTAGGGGCTGATGGGGGTGAAAGAAATTACAAAGCCAGAGAGAGGGCTTCCACCATGTCTTCAGGAGCATGCCAAAGGTACATCAAGCAAAAGACCACAGGAAACACAAATTTCTCTTTTTCCCTACTTACTTCCAAATATTGTATTAGACTTTAAAAAAGCAAGAGACTGAGAAAGAGGTAGTCTGTAAAGCAGAGAATTCCTCAGCCATTTCACATAAGCAGTTAAGAGTTGAAATTTTAAACATATTATAGAAAGACCAGTCAAGCCCTGAGAAAACCCTAGAGGTTTCTTTGCCAGAATGAAAGCATGTGGTACTGAACTGTACACTGAACAGGTTCTTGTTTTCTGAGTATGTTTCAAACAGTAGCAAAGGTCTGAGAAGTTGTGGAAGCCCCATCCCTGGAGGTGTTCAAGGTCAGGTTGGATGGGACTCTGAGCAATCTGGTCTAGTGCAAGGTGTCCCTACTTATGCAGGGGGGTTGGAACTAGAGGATCTTTAAGGTACCTTCCAACTCAAACCATTCTTTGATTCTGTGATATGATTCTATGTTCTGCATTGGAGCAGCCTCCGCCTTACAGGGGTACCAACAGCTGAATTCTGTGCTGTGGCAGCAAGAGCTCCCTCAAAGGATGGTCTTTCCTTGTAGAAAAAAAAAGTACCTTAACTTGTAGGTAGCTACATTTAGAACACAAGTAAAAGAAAAAGCATGCTCTTCTCATAGTGTTTTAGAATATTAAGGCTTTATTAGAGTGCCAGTCCCCAATACTGCTTATTATAGGTCAGTTTGAGTTTTCTCCTTTAAATGAAATAGCTTTGAGGTGTCAAGGAGTATTACACTGCACATTTCGGAGCTCTGGTTCTAGAATAATGAGTATTCTAAACTTAATAAGAAACATTCTTTAAAAAGCAATATTGTTTTTTTGCAACTAACAAAAGAACATGAGCATTCATTCACAGATTCAGAAGCAGTTCATTTGCCTTAGTTTTACCAGACTTGTAAGAATTTATATATTCTGATTAAACAATTGGCGCTCTTTTTAGTAGTAATGGTCAGGAAAATGCAATATGCCTCTAGGCTGTGGGAAAGGTTTTTCTTCCAGCACATGGTGAAGAGTGGGAGTGCAGAATTATCCTTTTAAACTGCTTACATTTCCTTACAGCTTTAAGTGTTGCTATGTCTCAATGTCTTAGTGCCTTTTTAAAGATATTTCAGTACCAGCTTCTTGAGAACCTCCACGAGGAAACGTTTCCGCTGCAGC